TGCTTCTCATATCGACAGCAGTTAGTCCTATAAACTGCTGATTGCATTGCTCCTGGGGAAACCGCAAGGTTAGTTTCCTGAGAGCTTCTGGTCACATTTTCATTGATCCTTCAAACACAAACATGTTGTGTGTGCATGTCTGTTTAAAAACATCTTATTTAATATATATGATTGATTCATTAACATTGAACCAGTGGTCAACAGCACTATCAGCTTAGGCCTGAACAAAGCTGATCCTATACCAGTATTTTCTTAGAAGGTATGTCACAGACTTCTTGCTCTGAGAAACATTGTCTGGTGCTAGACAGTACTGCACCACTGAGCTTGAGGCCCATTTTAAACAACAAAAATGCAAAAAATGAGGCACTAAGTGGACCAGCCAAAAGGACACCTGTTGTAGTGTAAGAATAGAAACAGGAAGCCGAGTGTCATCTCGTTTGACCTCACCTGGAAATGTAGGCTTTGGGTCACTCAAATCTTTTGCTTGCAAATGACTGTGCAAGTGTTGTGAATATTGATTTGGGGGTTGCAAATAAATTTTAGGCAAATTTGTAAATACAGAGTCCATGAATAATGAACACTGCACCAGGGCCTGCTGTAAGTCAGCAAAATCCAACATTTGCTCCCATTCTATGAATTGTTAGAGATGTGGGTTATAATATGTGCAACATGTTCAAATAAGTCACTCACGATTAGATTTGATAAGCTATTAAGGAGATGGCATTGCATTTTAAATCGCTCTTAAGTCAAGATCTATTCTTCAATCTTAACAAAGATTTGAGACTCCCAAAAGCATGCATCCCAAGATCTATTCAGTAACTCACTTTTCATCTTTGCCTCAGCAATGCCGTGAAATAACAAAATTGCTATGTACCCAACTACTATGCACATCTCCAGCCATCCATCCACCTGCTCCATGGCTCAAAAAGACCCAATCTTTGTGGCATGGAACTTATTCCACATACAAGTGAGGGAGCCTTTTAGATGAGCTGGATACTTCCTGCCTTGGTTCCCTTTTTGTCTTCTTGCACTATCTCCAGTATGGGAATGCTAGGCTCTGTTCTCCACCATTATCACTCCATGATGCCTAAGGAAGCCACCAAGTCCTGTTTTATGCTGGATCTATTGCTCAGGGTGGAGTTTGAATACAAACTTCCTTGCTTATGCTGCATGACCACAACTGATTCATCTTGCATGTAGGTGTGTAGGGAAAACAGCCTTCCTTTTCTGCACCACAGATCAAGTCTTCCTCCAAAAGAAGGAGGAAATGCCCTTGGAGGGGAAACGTCTAACTCATTAATTAATAATGTCCCAGTAAAAACAGTTTTGGTTTACAACAGCCCTTCCTTTCAGGAAATGATTGATTTTGAGTTTCATCCCTTCCCAAGATGGCTTCTCTCTGTGTGGAGAAAACACTATGTGCTCGGGGACAGGGCAGGAGATTCAGGATCTGTACCAACCAAGTCTTGATGTTTCTTTCTGGCCCTCACCATCTTCTGTCATTGTGGGTGCTAGCTTATACTGGTGCATCTGCCACAGAAGTTATTTGAGTAAGAGTAATCAAATCCCTCTCTCGTGGTATAGTCAGGGCTTTGGGGTTCTCCCAGCTGACCTGTCTCTCCTGTGTAACTAAGACCTATTGCCAGAGCTGACTGCCCCAGGGACAGGCACCTGACCCTAGTGGGGCCAATCAGAGAACTTCTTTGGGATTTTTCAAACTGGAACTAAGCAAGCTAGTTTCTCCCTGGAGACAATGGAGGCAAAACTGTGAGATGGGAAATAGGATCTTTGGCTATTTTGTTCCTACCCCATAGAAGTGGACCTTCAGGAAGAGGCAGTGTGTGAGAGCTGCAGAAACATTCAGACCCCTGGTCTAAGTTGTGCCTGAGGCCCTGCAGCTTTTATTTTCCTATTATTCTGTATGATATCTTCATACCTTCCAGTAAATTCTCACTTAGGGCCCAAGCCAATTTATTACATTTCAGTTTCTGACATTTGCAACTGAAAAAAAAGGAGCCAAAACAATATGCTTTAATAGTCATCACAGCACTTGGATATATACCATTCCAAGAGACTTTTATTCATACCAGTCATTAAGTATACTATTTACAGGTTGAGAACTATCGCTGGCAAACATGAGACAATTGAGACATTAAAATTTTTCTGTTTTGGTGAGTTGTAGCATCCACACAGTGAAGTGCACAGAATAAACATTCTTTCCAAGGAAGTAGCATAAATTAACACCTGTGTAGTTGCCACACAAGTACGAAACAGGACATTGCCAAGACTCCTGAAGCCCATCTCATGTTGCTCCTAATAGTTACTATTCTCTGCCCTACAAATCACATTGTTTTTATGGTTATCAATTCCTTATGGTTATCAGTTCTCTTTCTAGTTTTATTACTCAACCATGCATCCCCAAATCTTTGAATTCTACCCATTTTTGAACATTATATAAATGAAGTCAGACATCATTTTATTTTTAAAATATCCAGCTTTTGCTGTTTTGGGTTTTTTTTGAGATTTATATAAAATCTGTAGCTTAGTCTTTCTCATTGTTCTTTAAAATCAGCCTTTTTTTTTGGTACTGGCAATCGAACTTGGGACCTCGTGCTTGTGAGGCAGGCGCTGGAACCACTGAGCTAAATCCCCAGCCCTTCATTGTTCTTTAATATTCATAACATGAATGTACAATCATTAACCTATTCATTCTGTTGATGGATATTTGGAGGGTCTATTGGTTTGTTTCATATTTTGGTTATCATGGATAAAGCTAATATGAGTATTATTGGTGAATATGTGCACACATTTTTACTGGAGATGTACATAAGAGCAGAGTTGCTCAGTCATAAATACTGTATGTATCTCTTCAAGTAGATAACATCAAATTTTCTAAGTGACTCAGTTTATACTCTTACCAACATTTTATGCAAATTTCTCTTGTTCTATATACTCACTAACACTTGTCAGAGTTTTTAATTTTAGCCATTGTGGTTTTAATTTCACTTCCTTTTGATTACTAATGGGGAACTATATGTCCTTTTGCATGTTGGTTGGTTGGTCATTTTGTATATCTTCCTTTTTGAAATCTTTTGGTCAATTTACTATTTGCTTGGATTTTGCTTTATTGCTTTGTAAGAGCTCTTTATATACTTGGGTTGCTGGATAGATACGTTGTAAACATCTTCTTCCATTCTGTGGGTTGCCTTTTTATTCATTTAATGCTGTCTTCCAAAGATGAGATCCTTACAGATTTATCAATAAAGATTTTAACATACAACAATTAGATTAGTTGGTGGAAAATAAATTCCAACTTAGGAAAATGAACTTACACAGGATCTCTGATTAAAGTCACACATTCTTTCTTTGGAATGTTATTTCTGGAATGGTGTTTAAAACAAAGTAAGCAAAAATTCTATTCTTTACAAACCTTGAAAACACATGATGCTTAGTTCTGCCACTTGGTGGTGCCACAGAAAACTAGCAACAATTTAAAAAACTAAACTAGGACTTGGTTTATTAGCAAACAGAAAAACATAAACATTTTAAAGTTTGTAATTCTCTTGCACATTATAGTATACTGTAGATTCATTCAGCCTTTCAGTATAAAGTTCCCGGCTTGCTCATTGCCAAATAGAAACTCAGGATAGCACAAATAATTTTCTTTTTAATCATAAAAAATTTTCAAGTATCCCAAAGTACCAACATAACATCCCTAGAACCCAGATAAGCAATGTTAACCCTCTGTCATATTTACTTCAAAATTTTTTTTTAAAGTTTCTTTGTTCTCTCCAGTTTCAATCCCCTTTTCTCACTAGAGGCAACCACTACCCAGAACTTGATGTTTGTCCTTCCAGATCTTGTTTCTGTATTTTTAATATACATTCACATGTCCATGAACAATTCAAATGTTACTTTTATTTTTAAAATATATCTATACTATAGTGCAATTTTTTACATTTAACATAGTGTTTCGCCACGTTGATACATGTGTGTATACATAGATATAGATATATACAGGTATTAACTGCTATATTGTACACAAACAGTAAGTCCATTCCAGTTGTGAATTTTCACAGGTGTATTGTATAAGAGTGAGTTGGCTTAGAACTAATCCGATTTAGGAACAATTCCCCTGGACAGAACTCATTCATAAGTCCAGGACGTGCAAATATGGTTAACATACATCTTGTATTTACCCATTCTTCTTTTAATGAACATTTGAAGCCTGCAATGAAATAAAGCCTTGTACAATTCTAAAAAAAAAACCTTTAAATGCCACAGACAACTTTTAATTCAAGCAAAAGCATTATAAAATACCTGTTTTTTAAAACTCAGGCGAGTTTTTGCTGCTTTTTTATTTTTTTTTTAAAAAACAACTGCTAACCCAAGCGATGGTGGGAGAAGAGGGGGACATAGAAAGAATTAAGATGTGTTATGTACCTGTACTCATTCCCTGCTATGAATGTAATTATGTACTACAAACATGTGCCAATAAAAATAAAAATTAAACAGCTAACGTCCGCTCTATCTGCATGCATAGCAAGAATCATTACCTCAAATTTGCTAACGGTCTTTTACTCTCCCCACTGTAAACGACTAAGGTGCGTGCACAGGGGAAGGGGTGGGCAGATGGACAAAAGAAATCTCAGTATCAAAGGCAGTGAAGGTTTGTCTGGTCTGGAGCAGGGGAGAGTGGCAGGAGGCAAATGTTATACATTTGGGGGAGGCCTGAGAGTTTACAGGGCAGGGCATATCTCGTGCTACCCTGTCTGGATAACGAGACAGAAGAACAGAGATCTTTTTCTCCATACTCCTTGCAGAAGATGAAACCATCAAACGCCAGGCGGTTGCCATGGAAACCACAGGGTAAATCGGCTAGAATTCTTGATGCTCTTAGAATGTTTCTTCTTCCGGTCTTCTGCTCTTTGCGACACCGCCTCTCTCCTCGGTCCCCCGCCCATCCTGTGAGCTCTGGTTATTTTCTTCCCCCTTGATTCTCCCCTTCTTCGTCTCAGGTCGCCATCTTGTCGCAAGGTCCAAGATGGCGCCTGGGTCCCAGAGCTAGCGCTTGGGAGGCTGCGCGCACTCGAGCTCCGCGCGTAAGGGTGGGGCAGGGACGTCCCGCCGCCGCGCCCGCCCCCGATAGTCGCCCCGCCCCCAGTCCCACTCCGCCTTCCTCCCGTCCCAGAACCCGGAAGTGGAGGAGGCGGAGGCGAGGAGGCGCGGCGGCGGCGGGGGCCGGCGGCCGACCGTGGCGGAGCTGCCCGGGAGCGTGTCTGGGTTCGGGGTGGGGGGCGGGGCTGAGTGGCCAGGCCGGCCCAGCCCGGACGGGCGGGGAGGCCATGGCCTCGGCAGAGTTGCAGGGGAAGTACCAGAAGCTGGCCCAGGAGTACTCGAAGGTACCCATCGTGGGCGGGGAGTGAGGGGTCCCTGGCGCTGCGGCCTCTGTGGCCCTGGCAGCCACTTGTCGGGACGGAGGTGGCCTGCTGAGGGGCCCGCGAGCTCGGCCCGCCTTTGCCCGCCACCCCTCGGTCCACCATTATCGTGCCTTCAGCTGCCGCTCCCCGGAGATGGGGCCGGGAGGTGTCTGCAGAAAGGAGAGCTGGAGTTTGATTCTTCCTCCTCACCAACCTAGCGGGCTGGGGAGTGAGATGCCGGAAACGCAGGCTTCTGCCTCTGGTGCTGGCAGGGAGGGGAAGGGAAAGGTGTAGCACCACCCCTGCCTTCGCTGCTTCCTCAGTTTCCCCAGTCCCTTGATGGGGAAATGCCAAACTGTTCTCCCTTCCCTCAGGGATAATGTGAGGATAAAGAGACTTACCTGCCCCCACGTCACTTTGGGAGGGTAAATAGTGTCATTCGTGTAAACTGCCTCACTAGGAATAGGTAGTTACAGATGTGATCAGTGCTTTGGCAAGATGTTGTCTGGGATGATTTTGACAGCTTGAGTGCTATTGTCCCTGGAACGGGGCAGAGCACCCAGCAGGTGCTCAGTACATGTTGCATTAAGCAAAAGAGAGACCCGCCCTTTTGTCTTGTGTAGACTTCCGTGTTTTAAATGGTGGAACACCTTCCTGGGATAAGGGTGGTGCAGTTTCTGGGTGGGGTGTTTCTGCCTTAGGAATATTCTAATGAAGATACTTAAGAGGACACTGACATCTTTGGAAATTCATTCAGCAGTCTTGGGATTCATGGAGTCAGTGGCCTTGGCATTCAGTGGTCTTGGCGTTCATGGAGCCATCAGGAAGACTTAACCCTCTTTTTACAATTCGGAGAAATTGAAGCACATTTTTTCCTGATTTAATTCAACAAATAATTAGCAAGGTGAAATGAAATATCTTTGAAAAATAAAATGTACATCTAAATATACACACAAGTCTTCACTATCAAACAGGAGCCTTTTGAAATACTAATGTCAGCAGTATAGTATGGAAAACTTTGTTGCATTTTCATTTGAAATTGTGTTAGAGCCTGTGACACAGTGTCAGTGACTGAAGAGCTCCTTCTTTGAACGGCCCAGAAGTTTGGAACAGATCCATATGATGAATGGGGGCGAGTGAAAGCTGGCACTGCTCGAATTTGCTTCTACTATTTTTGGTTGGAAATGCTTCATGCATATAAGCTAAGGGACTGCTTTTCTTCTCTGCAGAGTAAACTAGCTCAGAAGGCAATTCCAAATGGCAAAAGAGGAGATCCAAAACATGTTTTGAGCTGTGGCTGCATTGCTGAAATAATTGTGTAGCCTCCCAAAGTAATTAAAAAAAACTTTGTATTTTTTTGAACATGTAGGCTTGTTCAGCTGAGCATTCTGGCAGGGTCCCTTGAGTGAGGCAGGATTCCAGCTTCAGGAGTCACCTTTAATAATGCATTGTTCAGACATGATATATAGTTGGGATACACTACAACAAGTGCTAGTTCAGTGCAAAGTGCTGGAGACCTCATGTTGAGTGAGGGGGAAGTCACTTAGATTAGGGAGGGAAGGGGGAAGGAGAAGGTGGTAACTTTCTAAGTAAAGGGAACAGCTTTTGTTTGCTGAAGTAAAAGCTCCTTAGGATGGGAGAAAGTAGTGACACGAGGTTGGACCAGATCATGAAGGGTTGTGCATGTCAAATAAGTGTGAATTTTAGCTTTTGAATAATGGAGAAATATAAAAGTTTTTTAGTGGGGGAATAACATTACTTTTGGGAATGATTCTGGTGACTATATGGAGGATGGTCTGAAATAGGGAGAGATTGGTGAAAAGGTCAGATAGGCAGTTGGAATAATTTTGGGGAGAATGATGTAGGATTAAATAAGGTTTGTGACTCAGATTGGGAGGAGAGGCTTGATTCAGGAATTATGGTTAAAAAATACTTTTTAGCTTGCATGTCTTTTGAGTGTCTGCTTTGTGCATGGCACTGGACTTAAGAGAGATAAAGACTATACAAGGTACTCACCCGGGTCTCATTCTTCAGTAAGGAAGAATCAGAGTTGACCCTGAAGCTCAGAGATGAAGGGTCTTGATTACCACTGATGGAATGAGGGCTGGCAGGAAAGATAGCCCCTTTGAAGCAAAGTAGTTTTTTAAAGGTTAGATGCAGTCAGAATTTTGGGTTGGAGATCGCATATTAGTTTGGGGTGATGTTTTGGGTAATTACTGAAAATTCCTAGTGGACATGGATTGGCTAAAACTGAGGACAAATACTTCTAAAGGTGAACTGTTAGAGTTAATCAGGGTAGAAATGTGGTTACACCCGCGGGAAGGATGTGCTAGGAGGAGATGCTAAGGAGACTGCAGGGAATCTGCCAAACTTGGGATCACCTCCCCTATTGGCCCAAGCTAGTTCTCACTTTTTTTTTTTTTTTGGTACCAGGGATCAAACTCGGGACCTTGTGCTTGCAAGGCAGGTGCTGGAACCACTGAGCTAAATCCCCCGCCCAGTTCTCACTCTTTTAATTTGAATATAATGGAAATTTTTTTTATTTATTTGTTTTTGCTTAAATTTTTTTCTTGGTACATTTTAGGTATACAGTACATTTACATTTATCATTGGGTGCTTGTACCTGTACATGATGTATCTTGTATCTTGGTTCTTATTTTTTCCCCATTATATGATGGAAATTTTAGAACATAAGAGACAGACTGGACAAAAGATTTCATTCATTCATTTATTTATCTTTTGGTGCCTGGGATCAAATGCAGGGCCTCATGCTTGCTAGTCTTGCCCTCTGTCTCTAAACCACATCCACAGCCCTTCCTGTGCTTTTTATTCCCTGTCATTTGTAATGCTGGGCATTTTCTAGATGAGGTCTATGTGCTGTCAAATCCTACGGCTATGGAAGGGCTGGACTCCCTTTTTTATTACCCTCTGTGGTGCGGAAATTGTGGGCTGATAGGGAAATGTGGTTATATTTGGGATACTAAGAGGAAAGAAAATCCTGTTAATCTAAAAGGAAGCCTCCATATCAGATGAGCAGCAAACATGATTCCTAAAACAAGGACATTTACAGAATCTTCTTTCTTTAGGCGCATTTCAGTTTATACTCCAGAAAAGGGCTCTTCCCTGCTTCAGAACTGTGATCATAATCCTTCCTCCTGAGAAGATAAAACAACAACAATAGCAGCAACAGCAGAAGCAACAAAAAAAATCTCAAATAAGAAAGGCACCATGGTTTGAGGAGCTCCCATAAAGAGCCTGAGAGTATAGCTAGATAAATGGTAAACCATGGAGGCCAAAGCAGATGAGGTCTCAAGGCTGTCAGATAACTGAAACAGAAGGCAGTTTGAGAGTTGAGATGAAGACTCCGCTGGGTTGAATAAGAGCTCAGGGTTATTAGAGTTTGGGGGAGGGGAAAAGTATGTAGAGGCTGCTTTTCAGAGGTTTTTGAAGTTAATAAGTGAAGATGTAAGCTACCTCTTTTGAGATACAAGGGAATGTTAATCCAGGCCTCAGTTAATGCCTGATAGATTAAGAATTTCTCGCTTGCTGTTTCTACTACCACATGCTCTGCTTCTGATACTCTGGTATATCTCATTGTGAAGAGAAGGGGTGAAAAACATGTTCCGTTCTGGCTCATTTGACTTCAGCCTCCTTTCTTTTCAGGAGCACTTTTGTGGCACACTGTGTATGTGTGTAAGCAATTTTCAAGATCTTCCCAATGTTTGTGTACTCTGGCTCTGTGCTTCTCAGTCTGGGCCCTACACCCTCATCATGAACATCATGTGGGGATAGATTAGAAATACAGACTCCCGAGGCAACCCTGGACCTCCTTATCTGAACTAGGGTTGTACCAAACCTCTGTGATTTGGATGCACACTGTATTAGTAAGCCTTGCGTTACTGTGACAGAATTCCCGAGGCAGCTAACTTATGAAAAGTGTCATTTAGCTTATAATTCTGGAGGTTCCAAATCCAGACAGTGTACTGCAGGCATGGGGAGGACTGCACCTTGCCCGCTCATGGTGCATGATGAATGGCAGCAGTGGAATTCCATAGGGTACAAGTGCTTGATTACATCTCACGACAGGAGCAGAGACACCCAGATCTCACAGTCCCCTTGAAGGGCACACCCCAATGACCTAAGGACCTCCCACTACCTCTTAAAGGTCCATAGCAGCTCCAAGTGTGACCACCCTAGGGACAAAGCCTTTACACATGGACTTTGTAGGACATTGAACATCCAAACCATAGCTCATGCTAAACTTTGAGGATCATTGCTCAGAGAATATCAGTAAAGAAGCTTTTGCTCAGATAAAGGTAAAAGCTTGCTTTAAAGCTTTTTTTGAGGCAGTTTTTTTGTTGTTGTTTTGGTTTTTTTGGTACCGGGGATCGAATTCGGTTCCTCAGCTTTTGAGGCAGGAGCCAGAACCACTGAGTTAAATCCCCAGCCCTTGAGGCAGTTTTTAAAAACCGTTGGGAAAGCAAAACATCCACCATTCTGCTAAAAGTTTTCTTTGCAATTAATACTTCTTTTGGTTATGGAGGAGATTGCCTTTGGGAACTTTTTAATACTTATACTCAGTACAGTGCTACTTATACTGGGAAAGGGTCAGTTTTGGTCTGTTTACTGTCCAGATACTGAGAGTTGGAACCTGATTAATCACCCCCTGGTGTAAGAGAAACAAACAGACGTAGGAACTGGATTTGATGAAAATTGAGTGTCAGGGTTTGTTTTTTTTTAACCTTCCTATGTAAGGTTCACTACTAAAGTTGGATTAGAAAACACTTTGTGTCAGTGCTATCTAATGGAACTTTCCATGACAATGAAAATGTTCTTTGTGCTGTCCAGCAGGCTAACCATTAACCATCTGGGGTAATTGAGCACTGAAAATGAAACTTAAGTACCCAAGGACTGAATTTTAGATTTTATATAATTTTAGATAGGTTAAATTTAAATGGTCATATGTGTCTGTTTACTCTCCT